ACTATCTTTCTCTTAAAAGCAACAAACTTTGAAAGTGTATTTAAATTAACTAGGAGGGGGCCAGAAATCCCATTCATCAAGGGAAAACAAAACAAAAAGTTTCCTGTTGCCTCCCAGTGAGGGGCCAGAGACCCCCCCTTCAACATCTTTGCATCTTTACTATTTCAAAAACTCAATCTACAAAACAAGAAAGAGAGTGTAAACCCTTGCTCATTGATTGTTTTCAAAGAGCCCAGGAAAAGAGACCTCCTGCCAGTTTATAAAAGGTTATAAACCTATTCTCAGATATCAGCAACAGCTAAGCAAAACAAAGCAAAGCATTAACCCTTTACTTACCAACTCTCAATACTACTTCATAATACTTACTTTCATTATCTCAAAAAATAAATTTCTTTAAAATAATTAATTTTTATCAAATGATCAATTGATTTATTGTTATTTGCTTAGTATGATTGAATGTTTAGTGCATATAGTGTAATTACTGAATATCTGATTAGTAAAATTAGTGATTTAGTGAATTTAATTGACCACTGTGTTTAGTAATTACTGTAATAAATTAGGCTGTTTGTTCCTTAGCAAAGTTTGATTAGAGTGATTTGAATAACCAATTGATTGATTGATTGATTTTTAGTAATAAGCAATCTTACTTTTGATTTGTTCTCTAACATATCAATTAACATTTATTAATTACCAACATTCATTAAGTAACTGTCTACCTATCACATTAAATAGCTATTGTAATTTTTAGTGTACTATTGCCGTTGACCATGCCAGCCAAAAACTTCAAACCAAAACAAAAGAAAAATATCTCTACCAATGACCTCCCAGACTTCTGCACATGTTTCAAATGTCTTCAAACCATCAATGAAAGCAAAATTTACATCAAATGTGATAATCTAGCCCACCCTGCCTGCTTAAATGCAAACAAAAACCTAGCTGATATGGTTAAAAATTCAGATACATTCTTTTTTCTATGTCCATCATATTTTCCTAAGCTAAACAAACTGAGTACCCCACCTGACAGAGTTGAAAGCATAGAATCACTCATTCACTCAATAGAAGAACGCTTAGCAACATGTTTTGAAACAACTATACAAGCAAGCCTAATTTCTCTTGGGAAAAAAATACAACACAGATAAGTGAGTACCTATCAGCTCAAAATCAAATCCCACAACAACCACAACCACTACCTCAACTACAATCACAACTACAACCAAAAATAAGCACCAAACCACAGCCACAAACAATTACTATCCCTTCAAATAATTCCACAAATAATATCTCCTTACTCATCAGAGACACCATGGAACGTGAACAGAAATGTCCAAATGCCATCTTATTTAGTCTCGAAGGCACCAACGAATAAGATGACATCACCAAAATTTGTGATATCATAAGCAATTCTAATACAACAAACATCTCTCCTGAAGATATCACTGAAATAACCAGAGATGGCCATGGGTACAAATACAATGACGGCTCTGTGGCCCCAAGATTTTGTAGAGTTGTATGCAAAAATAAGTCCAGCAAATGCATATTCATTCATACAATAAATGCCATTGCAAAAACCAATCCCAACCACAAAAGCTTCGCTCAAGACCAGACTTATCCATACTGCAAAGAATCAGCTCCCATGAACTCCGCGCAGAACTCAAAAACCATCTAGACAATGGAGAAAAGGACCTGTACATTGACTACAGAGCTGATTGCATCAAAAGTAAGTCACACAACCCACAACTCAGCATCCAACCCCACCCCATCCAATCCAACATCACTCAAAACTAGGCATGTACACCCCTAACTACCTCTATTCCAACCACAACTGGCCTTAAATGCAAGCTACTCAATGCAAGAAGCCTTGTAAATAAAATCCCTGAATTTCTCCTCTTACTAAATACGGCTAAATTCGACATTATATTTGTCTGTGAAACATGGCTCAACACATCTCTCCCTGACTCCATTACCACAGTAAGAGACTATCATGTTTACCGATCAGATAGTGAAATCCGTAGAGGAGGTGGTGTTGCTATCTTCTATAAAAAGTCCCTACATCTAAAAAACATCCAAGTTACCCAGGAGCTTGCAGTTCCTGAGACCATCGTCTGTGAATTGTCCTTAAATATCACATTTCTGTTTTTACTATGTTACAGAGCCCCTGATTATGACATTGAACATGCAAACAAGCTAAATACACTACTAACATGGGCAGCATCCTGCCCACACGCTTTTATCTTTCTTGGTGATTTCAATCTACCTCATATTAACTGGACCCTTAATGAATGTACAACTGAACCCATACATGCAACCTTGATCTCATCTCCTACAATAGTTTGAACTCAGTTTATGGAATACAAATTAAAGAACCCTTTTCCAGCAGTGACCACAACATGATTGACTTTTGTCTCAACATACGTCCACACAAAAATCATCACAACGACGTAATTCCTAATTATAACTTCAAAAAAGACAACTATGATCTTATAGACAATGACCTCTCATCCCTTGATTGGCAATCTCTATTCACTGGATGTAATACTGTAGAAGACCATTACAACATATTTTTACTTGAAGTCAAAAGAGTCATCAAACTATATGTACCAACAAGAACTCCCAAAACAAAAACAACAACAACAGATTACCCATAACAATAAGGAAACCTCAATCCAAAAAGAGATCACTCTGGTGGAAAAACAAATCTGGTCACGTTGCCAACTTCAAAAGCCGATACAAAAATTTATGCCACCAGATAAAAACTGAATGCACCAATTATCACATTAAACAAGAAGAAAACCTTCTACGTACCAATTCCACCCGCGCTTTCTACAATTTTATAAACAACAAACTAAAAGACTCAAGGTCTATCCCATCCCATCCCTGAAAGGACCTAATGGTAAAGACTGCAACGATTACTCTATTAAAGCCAACCTCTTTAACACATTCTTTGGCTCAGTATTTGTAAACAGCAATGGATCAAGCCCAGTATTTCCTAGTCGAACCACAGACAACTACAATGATCTAATACATATCGATTTTACAGAAGACATTGCTGAAAAAGCACTGCGCAATCTAAAAACATCTCTATCTATTGGACTGGATGGAATATGTGCCTACTTCTTAAAAAAGCTACCCATTGCCATGAGGAAATGAAGGATAGTGTTGTAGAGGTCCCTCATCAGGGGTGGGCTTCAAATATTTTAGCAACTGGTTCTCTGCCCGGTTGCTGGGTAGGCATGGCTATAGTGGGCATGTCCTAGTTAGCCTCGTACACCACGGCGGGGGGGGGGGGGGGGTTTTGCCCCTCCCTGGGCTCCAGAGGCCCTCTGGAGGCCGGAAACAGGCCCGATTCCAGCCTTCTGGAACTTCCGGGGGGCATTTTTCACCCTCCCCAAGCCTCCGTGCGGGCCCTGCACTTACCTGCCATCCAAAATAGACTGCGTGGGGACTCCTGGGATGAATGGGGTGGGGTGGGTGGGGGCCAGCCAGGGGTGGAATTTGCTGGTTCACCAAATTGGCCATGAAATGGCCATACAATTAGCTACTGGTTCATGCAAAATGGGACGAACTAGTAGCAGCCCACCCCATTCCTCATCCTTTAAAATAAATAAATAAATATTGTGTTGGAGAGTTTTTGTTTTCTTCAAACTTCTTCACCTTTTTCAGAAAAATACAAAACAAAAAGGGTCAAGGAGGGAACAGCAAAAAAGTTATTCTACCATTTTTTTTTCTATTTCCCCTGCCCCCAGTTTTCATATCACCTCTAGTTCCACTCCATTATTTGAGAATAATCCCAAAGTGAGAATAAAGCAGATACACTACATAATTACAAAAGCATAATCAATGGTGTTGCAATAATAACAAAAGTAACCCCCAAACTTAGCAGAATTGCTTCCTTTCTAAAACAGGACGGGGGAGGAGATACTTTACCTTTAGGAAGCATGTTTCTTTTCTTCATATTATTTGTGAGAATTCATGGGTTTTTTTTGTAATATCTGATTTTTCTTTAAAATATTCTTCATCCTCTAACCCCCAGAAAGGAGGGATCAGAGGGGCAAGCTGTTTGGCAGATCCTTAATATGAATATGAATGAATTGGAATAAAGTAGTTTTCAGCTGATGACCACAATTTTCACTGTTGGTTTTGAAATGAATCAGGCCCAAAATGTCTGACCTTTTTTGCTAGGGTTGTGAAGCAAATCAATGTAGTTGGTAAGTGAATCACATGATTTTTAAGGTGTTATGGCTTTCCCCACTGACTTTGTTGGTTGCAAATGGCGATCCCAAGATCCAAACATGCTGCAATCATCATAAATATATGCCGGTTGCCAAATTCTGATCATGTGACCACAGGGATGCTCCAGCAGTTGTAAGTGGAAGGATTGATCATAAGTCCATTTTTTTTCAGTGTCATTGTAACTTCAAACTGTTGTTAAATGAATGGTTGTAACTTGAGAACTACATGTATCATTATTTTCAAGTGTAACCAGCCACATAGAGTTTGCATTTTCAAATACATAAAATTGTTAATCTTAGAGGAAATCTTGCCAAGGCTATCCCTGATAAGATTAGTCACTGGAGTTAACCTATTCTTGAAGACAGATTTGCATGAAATTTGTTTTAGGATTACCTATATACTGTAATTATTTTCAAGTGCAACCAGGAAATAGGATTTTCATTTTCAAATTCATCTTAGAAGAAATGTCCTAATCTTGCCAAGTCTATCCTAATGAAATCAGTCACTGCAGTTATTCTTGAAGATAGATTTGCCTTCTGAGTAAATTCTTTGACGGTTGCTACTTCCTGTTCTGTGGATCAATATTGAGCAATATTGAGCAACATTGAGCAAACAGGACATTGCCCAAGTACTTGGGAATAATTAAAAAATAATGTTTCTGCTGCAGACAAGACATGGTATGTTGGTAGGTAAGGGGAGGAGTGAAACCATTCTTGAAACATTTTTAGACCAATCAGGTTAAAAAGAATGGGTAACTATGGTATTTAAAGATGGGTAGGAGAATTCTTTGAGGGAAAAAATCATCCCTTTTAAAGGTAAGTTTGTACTTCTTTTGGCAAGGGAAGAAGGGAATATGAACAGGAGGCGATTCTCAGGACATAGTATCTACAGTACCATATGTTTATGTGAGAATACGTCCCATAGAACACCAAGGGGCTCCTGATTGCTTTGCCATGTTACAGATTGTTTGCTTGTTGATTTGACTTCTCTTCATAGAAGATTAATTTTAGAAAATAAATGGAGGAAATGCTGTAATTGCCAGTTAAAAACTCAGTGGAACTCTCGACTTATGAACTGAAATGTCATGGTTTATTTGGACTTTGCTACAGATTCGTATTGCTCCTGACTAGAGAAATCATTTTTTTTTTCTGGGAGTCTAGTGGTTAAACATTTTGTTATATTACCATAATGGTAGCCTACCTAAGAGCAATGTTTTCTGTGACAGGAAAACATTGATGGCTCTCCCTGAGGGGAAATTCCATTTCTGGGCCCATAATAGTCAACATTCTTCCCAGTTGCAATCGCCTACATCTTATGAAGCCAAAGAATGAGAGATGAACCTGAAAGAATTTATATGATGATATAATTGTTCAAGTAGCTTTGATAAATAAATGAATAAATAAATAAATAAATTCTCCTACCCCAATTTATAATTGATTTTTTAAACAGATCTGTGGCTATCCTGCTTTAGCTATTTTGCCATAGAACAAATCTTGCCTAGCACGTACACCTCTCAGGGCAAATTCCACTGACAGGACTGAAACTGACAGGATTAACTCCAAAAGTCTGTGTCAGCTAAAAACTGTGTATTTGGTATTAAGACATGTTTACCTGAAAAGTATCAGTCATGAAGTTTGCTCCTTGTGTCACGTAGCTTGGTTTCAATGATTAACTCTGTAACTTCATTGTTTCCTGCAATCACCCCGCACCCCCGTCTTTGAATCAGCACAATAAAAGAGGACAGCGCAAAGCAATCGGGGCCGCCGGGACAATTCCATCTGCCCCAGGCGCGATGTGTTTCCTCACCTAAAGAAACTGTTTGTTTTGTGTCTTTTTCTTTGTGCTTTGGCACTCACCCTTGCGAGGGCTCCGCTAAATTATTTCTTGAAGGGAATTCAGCAACAGACTGGAAAATCGAATCAACGGACCGGTCGCTCGACGCGACA